ATATATATTATAGTGAGGGAGTAGGATATAAGGATTTCATCGCTATCTGTATAGACGTGCTGCGGGCATCAGGCATCAAGCATGGCTGTTTCAGACAAGAAACGGATCGTAGGATGACCGAGTGTGCTGGAGAGGGCATGTTTGTTACAAGGGTATATGGCATGAATTTCGTGAATACGGGAAGGGGTGTTAAGGGGAGGGAGGTATGTATACTGTACCTAGAGGCGAAACAATACGAGGTAGCAAGTGCGCACGCAGCTAAAAACTTCGGATACAGAATGGAAAGTAGATACGTCAGTTGCAATGGCTCGGTCGAGCAAGCAATGTATGTATAAACACACCACTCAATGAGCATTGAGCGAGACGGAGCTACCTCCGCTCCTCACCAGCACCTTACCTCACTCACCTCTTTACAACACAAAATCCAGTAGAGCAATGTTTCATTTTTTTCATTTATTCATTCGCATCCAAGCAAAGCACTACCGGGGTAGCTTCTAATCTCATCTCGTATCGTAGGTATGTAACAATCAAGTACGCCGGTATTTCCATCCCATCCCGCTCGATCCGCATCCCTCTCCTTCCTTACTGGTATATCAATCATCCTCGTCTTCATGCCCCCGTCCACTCCATTATCCGTCCACTTGTGTATGTGCACCGTAATTAACAACAGCACTCGAGACATTCGAAACAGGCGAGGCCGGCACAACTGTGTTGCTAATGTTAGCTTGGGGGTTGCCGGGGGAGAGGGTGGTTAATAGGACAAGGCAAAGCCGGAGGAAGAACGATATGGGAAGAGAGGAGAGGGGAGATGAGACTTACATTCCGCAGCAGACGTCACCGCCTCCGCGCATGCTAACGGGCTCAGCTGTCATTTGCTCTGTTGGGCGCTGTGGTGTTGTCAGTTTAAGTAGATCGGGATGGAATGTTTGTGTATGTAAGGTGCGAAGGGGAGGGGAGGGAACGGGAGACGAACCGGTTGCTCGGAGTTGATGCCTGCGTCCATGGGTTGGGGAGCTACCATTTGGATGGATTGAGGCTGTTGGGTTTCTTGTTGGGCAGGCATTGCGAATTTGTTCGTTTGTTTGTTTGTTGGGTGTAGTGTGGTGTTTATGATGAGTTCTGTACGTGGAAGTGGAAGTGGAAGTGGAAGTATGAACGATCGTGGGTTGTGTTATGGATTTGCTGAGTATGGGAGAGAAGGAATAGATGGAAGGCGGGGGAGGCTGGTGAATTTATCCGTACGGTACGGAGTATGATCAGCAAGGCGCAGCAGTGCAGTGGCAGTTCCTATTTTACATGATACAGTACTTTCCCGACCCGACCAGCAAGCAGCCGCGTGTCTCACTCAGGCCGCAGTCCATCCACAGTCCACAATCACAAGGATAAGCAAACCCAGCCGGCACACAAGATCCGGCCTGTGCAGAAAATACTTCGTACCTCCCTTGTCTTGCGACCTGACGGAACCCGAGAAGACGGTAGGTGTATGCAGATGATAGAGAGGAGAGTTCTAGATGGAAATAATACGTCTATGTTATCTCTACCTACACATTACGCAGTATTGAGTGGGGCTTTTGACAATTACGTAGAGTAGAGCGTGTATATATGTATATGTATACGAATGAGATGGCTTAGACTTACTCCGTAGCCTATTATATTCGGGTCGGCATTATTTGCGGTTCTAACCTTCTAGAAGTAAGCTCATCATGAGAAAGGCTTGTTCACTCGTCTCGTAGCTTGGCGATCTTATCTTAACTTCTACTATAAAGACGATCTTTTCATCCTGGCCTGGCCTCTGGCATCTTTTGCCGACGATAGGACTGTCTAGTCGGAGAGCTAATGGATGCGGCTGGCTGACTAAGACGACAAGGTACGGAGTAACAAATAGGTATGTGATTCTTGCTATCCTATAGCTTATGTTCTCGTTAGTTCTTACTGTACGGATATGTCTGTAAAGTTGTGAAAATAAGGTAGGCTGGTCTGCCTTCCGGAAGTTTCCCTGTTGATGAGGTGAGGACCTCACCGTGAGGTATGTATCTCACAAGGTTCTCTATGAAAACTGGGGCCGCTGAGGATGAGCCCGCCGACGTGTCGGCTGATGGCTTAGCTTGCCGTAGGCTGGGTGGCTTAGTTGGATGGTGTGGCTGATGCTATTTTGCCAATGATTTATGACCGGACAAGTAATACTTCACAAATAGAAGAGAGAATTGATTTCCCTGAGTGTGATAATCTTATAAGTAGTTCCTCATTGAAACGCTCACATAATTGTGTTTCTTAATTACATACATAGCCACTGTATAACACTCTTCAATATAGCTTCCACTGCATCACAAAACTCACCACCTCGTAAAGCTAAAAGCAAATGGGTATATATTACGCCGATGCGCCCGATCCTGCCTATACCAGCAAACGAAACACTGCAAAAATTCCCGTTTGAGCCACCTAATCCATACGCCATGCAAAACCATCCCCACCCCATTGAAGCTCATTCAATAGGCCTCACCATTTGTGAAGATGCCATCTGCGCGAACTGCCGTGCGTTCTCCAACGAAGATTGAGCTTCCACGTTCTTCCCTTGGACCTCATAACACCGAGATAACATTCCATCGGCCACACTCCTCCAGAGTATGTTCCCACTCTTTTGTGCTTGAACCGAAGCAGCCTGCGCACTCTTCTCTGCCTGCTGGCCTACCACATTGGCGAAAAACTTATTGCACATGACATTGAGAGTAATGCAGAGAAATTGCGTGTTGACCGTCGCTTGTGCTCCGGCTAGCGCAGCCCCAAGATACTTTTTGATGGTAAATAGCTGCGCTGGAGGATTTGTCTTGACAGTCGCCATGGCCAAGTTGAATGCTGTCTGAATATCTCGATTTGGATGTTTGGAACAAATTGGCTCAAGTCTTGCAATCATAGCTGTACTTTTGTCCGCAATTTGGCGCTTTGGATCCTGGAGAATCCAGAGAGTGTTGAGAGCGGCTAAAAGAGCAAAGTCATGCTCAACTTGGTCCGCCGACGTTGCATTTGGATTTTTCGCAGTGGGCAGGTTGAACCTTTTGTCCTGATATATGTGCAACGCCGCGTCAAGATCTCCCACGCCTTGGTAGTAAACGCCGGTAAGATACATTGTGAGACACTCCAATGGCCCCGAAATCGGAATATCGAAACTTTTTGCCGTAGACTTTAATTCATCTATGTTTCGTCGAACCTGCTCCCAGTCGGCACGAGCAGCCGCAGAGAAACCAAGATAGAGGCGAAAGTAACACAGAATACTTCCCCGCCATTCTTGTTTTTCAACAAGGTCTGGTAAAAGACCAGATTTAATCTTGGTCGTCTTAGTATCCTCTGAGGGTACAGTTCGTTAGCATGCGACTGGTAGAAAAATATAATGAGGACATACTTGTGAAGAACTCTAATCCGGTGTCAAGGTATTTTACGCCCTTCTGATCAATTGGGTTCTTGTGTAGCAAGACTATTCCGCAAATCAAATAACTATTGACTGCTGTTAGCTCGCGCATATCAAGAAAGGGGTGCATATCTAACGTAATGGCGTATGTATCTCTCTTGTTCAGGAAAGTCATCATAAGATTGTCTCGGCCATCTTCACCAATACCCAATACCGCTCTGGTCTCATGACTAACAGTTTGAGAGCTCCTGGGCGTTCTGTTGATTGGAATCGCTATCACATCGTTGTGGGAATTCCAGATTGGGTCATTGATGATCTGGTCCAATGTCGCTTGCATCTCTTTCAACTTGGTCAGAACATGTTGCGGATTTCCTTGTCGAATGCTACACATCACATCAATAATGCAAGTCAATCCCATGAGCTGAGGTATGCTCTTCCCTGCATCAAATTGGTGTGTTCGTGCTGCGGCGAGGGCTCTTTGGACTTGCTCTATTGATTCTGGACCCGTTGACTTTAGGTGCACCATCGCTTCCATCACAGAAGTTGTTAAATGGATAGCTCGATCGCCCTGTCTAGTCGCAAGTTCTGCAATTTTCTGCAGGTTCTGAATAGCAAGATGCTTGTCTGCTAGATTGCTTGATTCCAAAGCATAAGAGGCTCTCAGAAATCGAAGTGCATAGACCCAAGAAACATGCTGGTAGCTACTATCATTTTAGCATGATTCACCAAACCATTCTCGTGTAACTTACGCTTCGGCTTCTGATATATGTCCATCCAACGCTTTCACTGCTGCCTTTGTATTTTTCTTTGCCATGAGCTGGGTTAGTAGGTACTGCATCGCATATTTGAGATCGAAATAATGGTTTCTTTCACACAATCCAATGCCTTTACTCAGTGCAGTCTCAGCCTCCATGGTGTTCTCCGTCTCTTCATATAGCACCCCCGCATATCGCAACCGCACATTTGCTTCTAGCCTTGGAGACAATTTCACGCGCTTCAAGGCAGTATCCAAACATGCAAGTCCGGTAGCAATCAAATGTTCGTATGTGTCAACGTTGGTCGGAGTCATGGAGAAGACTGTGGAGGGAGCAAGAGCATGTGCTGCCTCGAAGTATTCCTCCGCTAGGGCTAATAGAAGCATGGCTTTATCGGGCTGCTGCATATCACTCTGTGAATTCCCCATACTGTCAGAGGTCTTCAAGGACGGCGTAGAAGGTGTTCGACTGAGGGAGGAAGGGTTCAGATGCGTCGCTGACGGGGGTGGTTGTTGGAACATTTGAGCGGGAGCGATGAACTGCGGTTGTATGGCCTGGGGTTGAATAGTGGAAGGCGAGTAGTACTCGTTCGAGGTATATTCTTTCATGCCATACGAATGCTGAGCAGCTTGGTGGTATGGTTGAGCTTCGTTCACTGGGGGGGGATATGACGTTGGTGCATTTTGCTGGTATGGTAAACGCGTTTCTTGAGGGCCGTATGTATTCGGAGGTTCGTGGCTATTCCAGTAGCCATTATTAGGCTCCGGAGCCCCTTTGAAAGACATATTACGACGTCCTGGACGTTTTCACAAAGTTCTAGCCAAAGAGTCGAGCCGGTCGTGAATGCGGCGAGTGTACAAGTACGTGCAAGGATAATTGACAGACGACTAGCATTATATCGGAGATACCTTTCACCGACCATTGGCGCTTGTACCTTAACTTAATTAGGCCGAGGCATAACAAGGCGCAAGGATTATTAGACCACTTTGTGCCTTTCCTCAAGTTCTCAAGATGGCTACTTCAAGTTTCGCATTTTCCCATTCTCCTCTCTCAAAGTCTCGGAATTATGGAATGGCTTGGTCATGCAAAGACCACTTTCACTCATTCACCAACAACACTCAATCTGAAGAAGAAAGACGGTTCCTCAACTGATTTACTCGCAATATGCCAAGAATCAACGCCACCATGTCGTCTCAACCCCTTCCTCTTCAACGGCCATGTTCAGACCATGTTGACCTCTGTAAAAGTTGACGGGCCTCCAATCTTCTACAAACGCAAAATTTTCGACGCTGAAGATCCAGCTTATGAAGGCACCTTTGCTGTGGACTTTGTGGTGAAGAAATATACGGAATCCGACGACGAGCTTCCTATCCGTACGACGTACTTCAAGGATGAAGAATTTGAGGATATTGCGTCTTTGGACACACGACCAATGCTTGTGGTGCTGCATGGACTGTCAGGGGGGTCTTACGAAATTTATCTCAAGCATGTGATAGAACCTCTAGTGGATGCAGAAGGAGACCGTCAGTGGGAGGCGTGTGTCATCAACTCTCGAGGTTGTGCTAAGCACAAGATTACATCCAGTGTGTTGTACAATGCCAGAGCTACGTGGGACACCCGGCAAACGGTCAAGTGGTTGAGAAAGAAGTTCCCGAATAGACCACTCTTCGGAATTGGCTTCTCCCTAGGTGCCAATATCTTAACGACTGTAAGTAGAGATTTATTGTCTTACTTCCTGTAGCTAATTTTTCTAGTATCTTGGTGAAGAAGGGAGCCACTGCATGCTGAAAGCCGCCGTGGTATGTTCCAACCCCTGGAACTTAGACGCCGGGTCTTTAGCTCTTCAGAGAACCTGGCTAGGAAGAGAAATCTACTCCAAGACAATGGCAGCAAACATGAAACGACTTATCGAGCTTCATCACGATCAAATCTCTCAAAACCCCAAACTCGACTGGGAGAAGATAAGAAACGTCAAATATCTACATGAGTTTGATCGCGAAATCCAGGGGCCTACTTGGGGGTATCCCACTGAGGGGGCGTATTATCGGGATGCCTCTAGCACAGATTCGTTGTTCGCAGTCAAGATTCCACTTTTTGCTATCAATGCAGAGGATGATCCAGTAAGTTTAATAACCCACTTCTCCTGGGACATTTCTAATCTGCCAAGATTGCCGTCAACGAAGCATTGCCGTACCAAGAAATGAAGCAGAGCCCTTATACTGTCCTCTGTACAACATCTCTCGGTGGCCATTTATCCTGGTTCGAGATTGGAGGTCATCGATGGCACGCTCGTCCGGTAAATTTGGATCTTGCAATTTCAGAGAATTCACAATGCTAACTTGGATACAGTGTGTCAATTTCCTCAACAAGATGGCGTTTGAGGTAGAAATCGAGGCACCTGCTTCTATGACTAACGGAGAGGGTACTGCTAAGCCAGGCCACGAAATGTTTGTCGCTATGCGCAGAAAATGGCACAGATGATTGCTAGAATGCAAGGCGTGGCATAAATGTAGACTAAGCATTATGACTGTAGATTAGACATCACCATAGACTAATACATAGAGGCGATCTGATATCCCACTGTAAAGTAATGTTGGAAAAGTCTGACAAATCTGATTCTCCCATGGTATCTCGACCTTTTATATACCTTACTAAACCATTGCTCCAAATACCCAGCCATAACGCCACCAATGCAAAAAATTAGTCCCTATAAAAGCCATGTCTTCAAGCAAAAGAAACACTCTTCCTCTTTTTCAACGGCTTCGTTCCCGCAGCCGCCTCACTCTTGATACTCTCTTCCCCACCGTCCGCCCCGGTTGATCTCTTCCGCTTCTTCCTCAACCCCTCCTTCGTCTCATCCAGCTTAGATTTCCTAATCTCCACCCTCTTCTCCGCCTCCGCCTTGCGCGCCTCACGAATCTCCTCCATCTGTCGCGCCTTCATCATCTTAGACTCGATTTGCCCTTCCTTATCTGCGTTCACCATGGCGAGGATGGTCATCATTGATTCCTATTTCCCAGTCAAAAAAAGCTCACTGATTTATTTCTTTCCTTCTCATTTTCGAGAGGAGAAAAGAGTTAGTGGTATGAGAGAACAAACCCTATCATCCACAAAAACCTTCCCCTTCTTCTTCCCCTTCGGCTTCTCCACCCCCACCGGCGTAATCATGTTCAATTGCGGAATGTCGAGTTCCTTCTCCGTATACACCCTCCTCTTCTTGCGCCCCTCTCCCTTCTTGAGCTTCTGCACGCCTTTGCTCTGCTGCTCCTTCTTTTTGGGCTTCGAGACGGGGTCCGAGCTGGATTTTGCTTTCGACGTTGTTTTGCTGTTGCGGATGCCCGATTTGTTGGCTGCGTGCTTGGATTTCACCGTCGACGTGCGGGAGGGCGCCATTTTTGCGTGTGGTTTGGAGGTTGTGGGTTTGCGAGGGAGCTGGTTGAGGGACTGCGATAAAAATGTCGAGATAGAAAAATTATATGGAGAGCGGACGCTAGCGGGTGGGTTAGGTTGCGGGGCTGGACTTTCAAGGTTCACTCGTCGAATCTAGGAAAGGAATTGCGAAAACAAAGTATAAAGTTTTCAGCTGGAACTTCGATTTGGATTAGTAGGCTGTGTATTTCGTGTATTCTATGTGCAACTTTTGTCTTCAACCAACCCATATCCCAGCAGCAATAATACTCATACACCCTCATCAAACCCATAATTTCATTTACGCCCTCTTCCAATTCCCCTCATGTACTCAACGTCCCCTTCGTACTAGGAATCTCCCCCTCGCGCCCCGCAACCCTACTCGTAGCCATCCTAATTGCTACCGCCAACGCCTTGAACGCGCTCTCCGCCCGATGATGATCATTATCCCCCCGTATACAATCAACATGCATCGTGACCCGCGCCGCCTGCGCAAAGCTCTGCATACAATGCGGGATCATCTCACAGCTCAGATCTCCTATCTTTTCTCTCTTCAGTCCCAGCTCTATCACACTGAACGGTCGATTCGACAGGTCGACCACGGCGCGGGAGAGTGCTTCGTCTAGGGGAGCGTAGGCAGAGCCGAATCGTGCAAGGCCGGTAGGAGTTCCGAGTGCGTCTTTGAAGGCTCCGCCAAGTGCGAGGCAGACGTCTTCGGCTGTGTGGTGATCGTCGACTGTTTCAAGTCAGCTTTCATTTCACATCGCATCTATCTCTATACATGTTGAAGTAAAGTAAACTTACTGTGTAAATCCCCCTTGCACTCCAATGCCAAACTCCACCCCGCATGTTTAGCTAGCGCATGCAGCATATGATCCAAAAACCCAATGCCAGAATTTATCGCAATAGTCTGGCTCTTGGAGGCCTGGCTTGCATGTCCATCTGCGCCATTCAACAGCCTCTTATCGGTGTCTGCTGGGAACTCTCCGCCGTCTAAATTGATGGCCAGTATGATTTTCGTCTCATTCGTATCGCGCGCCAGCGCTGCGGAGCGGATTCTGGGTTCTGAGCTGACCATTGTGACTTGTTTGAGGATAAATAGTGGTGGTTCAAAAATATTTCAGAGATGGCGATAGCGCTGCGACCGGGATGGAAAGCGGGCCGAGACCCGCCCGAGCTGATCCTTTTGATGACGCTTAGAGAGCTCTTGAAGCTTGAGCTTCCACCCAAAACTATCAAGAAGGAAGCTAGATGTTAAGTCGACGCTGAGAATGCGTTCTACTGGTGGTCTCAAGAATGAAGAAGCGAGCGGTGCGGCATGGGAAGCTACCAGAGGAGCCCTCGCGGGGGGTGCGAAGGTATGAATTGGTCTCTATCATGAAATACGGGCTTGACTGACAGGATGCGTGCACTCGTAGTGGGGCTTAGTTGCTGCAGGACTGGGCGGAATTGGTTATGCTATGTCTCCTATTTATAGAGGCCTGACCATCCAGTTCAAAGTGTAAGTATATGTGGAATATGTTGTTTTTGGTCCTATTACTTACTTCTTTACAGCTTCCTCCAAATGTCAGGTACTTAATTAATTTGCCCCTTCTCAAAAGGTGATCTTCAAGACCTGAGCTGACGTTGAAAGGCATGATTATGGGCTCGTGTCTTGAAGCAGATCACAGGATACGGGAATATGAAGCAAAAGTCAGGATGCAGAAACGGATTATGAGAGATCGAGCAGCATGGGAGAAGTACGAGCAGGAATTTGGTCCAGATGAACCTCCTGAAGAGAAGCCCCAATAAGAACAAATTTTAAAGTGCAAGTGTTTGGATTTTGCGTGATATTCATCATTCGGCATGCAGCAACATGTACATCCTAGCCCATATACGCCAACCAGAGACCCTCACAAACACCCCTAACGCCTGACATGCTCTTCCTTTTGCTAACTTACTTTGCTGCATTGAACTTCGCCGGATCCATATTCAGCTTCGACAATCTAGCAACACACCCACTAAGCTGCAATAACGTTTGCACTCCCTCCAGAATTTTCATATGCGTAAACCCAATCTCCTTGATAAACTCCAACTTCGAATGTTCACTCAGCGTCGGAATCGTCTTTGTAACCTTGAACATCGTGCTAATGATATCATGACTCGAATACCCCAAGTCCCACAGCTCCTTCAAAGTCTCCAATGCAGCGTCAACTTTGCCTTCATAGCATGCTTTGAGCATAGCTTGGACCTTGATGGGATGTGGTGAATCGACGACTCTGAAAACGTTGTCGCCGCTGAGAAATCCAAAGCCTGCCCATGTTGATTGTAGATTGTTGATTGCTTGTCGCATGTCGCCTTCTGCCGTGAAGACGAGAGCTGCTAGACCGTCTTCGCTGTATTCCACCTTCTCTACTTCGATGATTTGTAGTATTCGCTTCACAAGTTGTGCATCTGTCAACCGCGAGTATCGTAGGATCGCACAACGGGACTGGAGAGGTTCGATGATTTTGTTTGATTGATTGCAAGCGAATGCAAATCTCGTGGTTGCCGAGTAGATCTCCATAGTTCTTCGAAGAGCTTGTTGGGCACCAGATGTCATGCTATCGGCTTCATCGAGGATAACGAGCTTTTGTCGGCCTTGTGGGAGAGTGACTTTCTTCTGGGCGAAACCTTTGATTCGGTTCCGTACGACATCGATACCTGGGACATATATGTCAGTAAGGAACCATGCGGGAATGTAAGAATCGACAAACCTCTCTCATCAGAAGCATTTAATTCCAAGACAGCCTCCTTATATGAATCTCCTAGCAACTGCCTCGCAAGACACAGAACAGAAGTTGTCTTCCCAATACCCGGCATACCAGAGATAATCACATGCGGCATATTCCCATCCTTTGCAATAATTTTCAATCGCTCGATCGTCTCCGTATTGCCCACTATATCATCCAGGAAGACAGGTCGGTATTTCTCAACCCTACCAAAATCAGTTTTTGGAAGCGGGGCTTGGGGCGGGACATTTACCATGGTAACTCATAGTTTGCAATTCCATTGGAATTGGCCTTCAGTACCTTTTTGGCTGCGGTTGTGGACGATTCGCCCTTTTCTTCGCCTTTGGTGACGGCCATGTTGGATTTGGAGATGCTTGTTGAAGTTCGGTCGCGTTTGGCGACGCGAAGGCAAAATCAATTTACGCGTTGATGCATCACGTGAAGGAGATCTCCTTTTCGAAATCACTTTTCTCGAACAGGCAAAATCAGGATGAAGATAGATTTGTCCTGTCTATGCTGAGAAATTATGTTCGTCTCAGGGAACTCCTAATCTCGAGCTCAGGCGTGATTTTACTCAATGTTCCACCGCCCCAGACTCCCCAGACTCCTCACATCTCTTCTAAGCGTTTCCCTCTCACAACCATAATCTTGCTATCCGCCTTCCCATCTTTGAAGGCCATTGAGCCTATTCTTCTCTCGAGCAGGGAAGATCTTGAAGATTCTGAACGCGGCTAGCTAGTTGAATCCTCTCCTCGATGTGAAATCCATGATTTAATATAGAGAATATCTCGCGTGTTAAAGCGGTTGCAACTGCGAAACTGGCCGCGGGAAATCCGGTATCTGTGAGGCACTTGCCTGAGTTGCCTTTACCAGATCCGCCTCTGAAAGTTGTTCTAGCGGGCGTAGTATGCATTATTGATGCAAGATAAGTGCACTTTTGTTCTTTGTTCTCGAAATTCAACAAGTGCTGTTTATTCTGACGGAGTGAAGGTTCAAATTCCGAGGCGACTTCCCACCTGACTTCGCTTGAGCTTAAATTTACCCCTGATTCACATGATCTGACGAAAATTCGTACTCTGGGAATTTGTACAGCCGGGACAATCAAGCCCTGACTTTCTTATTCAGACGTCGCGAGGATATATGTTATATGCTAATCACCAGAATTAATCACCGATCTGAGCCCTGACAAGTAGGTTGATTCGGACTTGCCAAATTCGGCAAGACTAGTAACGTCACTACATGCGCCTCCCCCTTTCACTAGACGACCTAAGGACGGGATAACATTCGGCAATGCAAGCATGGAGCGCAGTTGAAGCATATGCTGCCAGAATGGTCAAATCACTGTGAAATGCTAGCAGAAGTTTCGTACGAATTGTTTGGAAATTCTCTAAATGGCTCTTTCTCATCACTCTTCCACTAACGGCACTGCCCCTCATATCCGGCATCTCAAATGGGTTATATTTCGTCTTTTGGCAAACTGAGCAGATCGACATAAACAGCAATTTCTGGTTACACGAGCTGAAAGACCTCGCAAATGATTGGAGTGTCTCTGAGATGACCTTCCGGGATTTTCAAGACAGGAATAACGACTTCCAAGTGCTTCGACTGAATTTCAACGATTGGGCTTCCAAGCTAGGCTTCATCCAGCCGTTGGAATACAACGAAAATAATCACACGCCAATTGACAAATACGGCGACCTTGGTACGTTGATGCTGGACACAAGCCCTTCTTGTCAGACCCCTCCGCCAAAGGACCAGTGGGTGTATATCTCCAAATGGGCATGGCCGCTCATCAGCGAATGGGATACTGCATTCGAAGCTGTTGTCAAAGCCGGTTACGTCCCATCCACCCTCAACAAAACGCAACTATTTTATGCCAAATGTGATGACACAGTCGGCTTCCTATGTGGAGTTTGGGGTGTCAAAGCACCTTCACTACTAAATTTCTTGATCGAGGACACCGCACCACTACCGGAAGATATCGAACCCGGATTAACATATTCTAGCAGGCTCTCAAACCTCCGCCAGGTCACCGTTCGTGTCATAGAATTTCCACTCAAAGACTCGTATACCGGACTGTCATCCTCTGTCTTTCCGGGCCCAACAGAGCAGATGCTCTCCATCATGCGTGGGAATAGACTATACGAGCAATTTGAGCCGTGGGACGGGTTCATGCAAAGTGTGCTCCGCTTCAACGAATACATGAACAGTAACTTTTACGATCACAAGGGGAGCCTCTTCTACTATCTTGGGAAAGTTGACGATTGGACGACTAAGCATCTTTACAAGCCGCTTGGTCTAGACGAAGCTGCCGAGATCGTGAGCGGGATAAGCTTTGACTTGGCCTTTTTGGTCACGAGCACTTTGATTGTGCGTCCCTGGAATTGGGTACGGCAGTCCTTTTTGGATATGTTAGGCTATCCTAGGCGGGGAGATCAGATCTTTGAAGATGCGTCCGGGACTGAGAATTTCTGGGATGATTTGATGGGTATGTAAGTGCTGGTAGTCAGATTTCGCATATCGCACAAAAGAAGACGGAGATGGAGATATATTGTTTTGATCAGACGTCGAAGGTCAAAACATCTATTGTCGCTAATTTCGGGTATTAACTTCACAATGGTATGGAAGATTATAGTCTCTTTCAATCATGCCAGAAACATACTCAAACGAGGGGGGGGGGGAATGAAGAATTGTCAACAGCATGCCTCTCAATTTCAACAGTCACTTCCCATTCTTCGTGAAGCAGTTCCCTTGTAGGTGAGCATGTAAGTGTCCTTCTCTTATGCTCCATCTAGCCAGTAGCTATAGCTCAAAACACCTGATTGTGAATCAAAACGGTCTACGCAACGGAGCCCAAGGGGCCATGGCTTCGACTGAACTCCCAAAATACGAGGTACAGCCCAGCATCAATCACATGTTCCTTTTCAACGCCTCAAAGTAACAAGGATTAGCGGACCGTCCAGTGAAGAACTACGCCAATGGCGCTATTCAGCCTATTCACGGTAGCGAGGATATTTCGACAACCGAGGCAGCTTCAACATCAGCCCATCAACTCACCACCATCTTTTCAACACATAACCAAGTTTTCTTCGCTCGAACCACATCCTTCTTGACCTGTGCTGGCTATCAAAAACTATCTGACGATGGCCTTCAAACAATATGTACGTCCCAAGAGCCAGGATTAATCCGTACCCAGCGACGCCAGCGAGTCGCGCCGAAGTCATTGAGAGATTTGAGGGATTCTGCGAGAGAGAAGACGCACTTAGACTCCTCGTGGTCATCAACTGAGCAAGTTCAATGGCATGTGCTCAATAGAATTGACCTTGACAATACAATGAGCTCGAGAAGTGTTTCGAGACTGGCTTCATCTTGTTGAATGGGATTTCAAACATCCAGGAAAGGCAGCTATGTGTGGACTTAAATTGCGACAGCAACGCAGGATGTATGCGAACTGTTCAGAGATATGCTGAATGAATTGCAGCAAATGTTTGGAAGCTCATATGAT